TTTGTTTGGAACCAAGGCACAAAAGGACATTTTCGAATAAACATGCATTGTGGTCCTGAATAAGTTGCTGTTTTCTTTTGAAATCAGCTGCACTGTAACGCACTCCCATTGCTTTATTAGTGCTACCAGCATGTAGCCCACTGAAACTAGAGCTTAAATACTGGTTGCAGAGTGGATCTGTTTGCATAGCCTCAGATAAGGGACTTGTCAAATTTTGGGATAAAGTTTTCTCCTGGTATGGAAGTTTTAGAGCACCATAGGATTTTTTTCTGTTGTGCAGTACTCAAGTATATAAACCATCTAATTCAGTGTTTCTCAACCTTGACAATTTTAAGGCATGTGGACTTCAACTCCCAGAATTCCACAGCCAGCATTGCTGGCTGTGGAATTCTGGGAGTTGAAGTCCACATGCCTTAAAATTGTCAAGGTTGAGAAACACTGATCTAATTAGTATTTAAAAACTTGAAACTTTTCTTCCTGTATAGTCTTTCTGATTTCTCAGAGCTCAATTTGAACCTGTTTTTGACTAGGTTTTGCTCCGAGTCACAAAATAAAATGGAGCATACTGAAAAAGAGACCATGGTTAACAATACACAGTTGCCAAGCCCCTATAATGCAGTCATTCTGAATGGGTTCCATCAAAGTAAGCCAATAGTGCATGGCAGGTTGGAAGTTAATAAGCTCTCCAACAACACGTGGTTAATAATTTTGTGCATCCTCAGGTATGTTGAGTAAGAGTGTGGGAAGTGAAATTTGTAGGCCTGACTTTGCATACTATACTTAACACTTCAATTGTCTTAACTACTTCAGTTGTGTGAATGCAACTGTTCTGGTTTATGGCTTAACCAGAATTGGCTACATTCACCAACATGTTCTGCCACAATTAAGTAAAATATGATTTAGTGATGTAGTTTTAATACCTTCTGGTTAATCAGTGCTCCTAGATCTTTATTCCCAATTTGAAAGTGGTTTGCCACTGCCTTCTCCCTAGGGCTGAAAGAGAGTGACTCACCCAAAGTCATCCCAGAATTTTTGTGCCAATGCAGAATTAGAATTCACACTGGTTCCTAGCCTGGTGCCATTAACCACTATACTTGGCCAGCTCTTGTTTGCAGGCAGTTAAGTTAAACAAAAAGGCTTGAAAGAGTTCTGTTAATGTTAAGATCCTATAAATCTATTTCATTTTCAAGCTGAACATACAGTATTTGAGGTCTCCCAGGGCTTTCTAAGTGGACATATTAATCACAAAGCATGATTCAAAGTCTTTTCCAAATCTTTCCTCTCTTTTTTTTTCTCTCTCCTGTCCTCCTTCTCTTTGGACTCTTTTGCTAAGTTCAGTGAAGAAATGATTGGATGCCTTTGGGAAGATTCCCCAAGATCATAGGACAATACCTTTGGAATGCCACGGCATAAAATATAACCCCTATATTGTTCTGGAGCAGGGGTCCTCAACCTTGGCAACTTTAAGACTTGTGGACTTCAACTCCCAGAATTCCTCAGCCAGCTTTGCTGGCTGAGGAATTCTGGAAGTTGAAGTCCACAAGTCTTAAAGTTGCCAAGGTTGAGGACCCCTGTTCTGGAGAAACAGGACTTTTCTTGTGGACAGCAAGGTGCCAAGGTTAAGGGGAAGGAGCATGCAGTGGCGTCCGCCCAGTGGAGAAGAGAGCTGTGCGTAGGATCCAAAAGTGAAGAAGTTATGAAAACCAACAAGAGAGAACAGCTGGAAGATATATTTGAGCCTTCTTAGCCTTGTCTAACATTGGGATGACAGGAGTTGTGCTCCAGTGTATTTGGAAGGACCAAAATAAATAAGTGGCTGAAGTTGCAGAAAAGCAACTATTCTTTTCCATAGTTGTTGCCTAAACTTGAAAGTTGATATGAAGCATGATAAAGAGGCCACTGCCAGGTTTATTGCTAGGCAAATAAATACTTTTAGTGACCTAAGAATAAGGTTAGCATAGGGCCCATCAGATGGCACTAATGAAAAAAGCACATACACCTCTCGAAATCTTTATGCCCTCTAGTAGCTTCCCATATTTTTTGTAGTCTGGTTATAGAAGCCCAAATAACTGGTCTTGATCTCTGAGGAATAGAGTAACTTTTGTTCTGGAGCATTTTCCTCTGTTATTCCTAGTATTTATAGATACATGATAGATTTATAGATTGGAAGTCCTCTGCAGAAGAGTCAAACAATTTTTATATCCTCAGTTGCTAATATATATTAATTAAAGTATTTGAGAACGTTTAAAAAAAAAAGGCTCAAATGTCCTGCAGAGGATTGCCAATCATCTAGTGCAAGTGAACTTTCTGGAGATGATAGTGGCTATCTCGGATCATTGCTTTTATTGCCTTAAATGGCACAGAGTCTTTAAGTGGGGGCCTAGAGAGGTTAGTCTCCACATCTAGGCTGGCTCCTGTGGGAGAAAGCTGTGGTTTGTAAATCCAGCTTTTTCAAGTAAGTTCCTGGAGCTGCCTTGTCTGTTGGTGGTTGCTGCAACTTGGTGGTCTTATAACTTTTAATTCTTAGCCTTCTTTTTTCCACGCTCCTGTTCTGTAGATTTGCCCTCTATCTGGAACCATTTCATATCCTGCTAAGACTGTAACGTCTGGGGCTTTTCATGTTTTGGAACACAATGCTTTGGGAAGCAACAAAAGATAAATACCCATTTTTAGCATCTGAAGTCTGTTTTGAAACAACAGCAGTTTCAGAAGATACTGAAGGGGAAATTCCAAATTGATCTGTGGGACTTGAGCAATTTCCTTGGAAAATAAAAGTTAGGGGATTGGAAAGATATGGAGGAGAAGAAGAAGGAACGGGGTGGCTTTGGGCCAGTCGCATTCTCTCAGCCCCTCCCACCTCACAGGGTTGTTGTTTTGGGGAAAAATAGGAGGAAGTAGGCGTGTTGGATATGTTTTCAGCCTTGAATTATATGGAAAAAGAATAAAGGCAGAATACAAATAAATACCTTGAATGTTTGTGACTTAAAGGGTTAATTCTGGCTGGCTGGGCTAAAACATGCTTGCTTGCTTGTAATATTTGAATGATTTCTTGTTAAGGATTTGTTTAGTTCTTAGTGTTTACATTTATTTATTTATTTATTTATTATTTGAATTTATATCCCGCCCTTCTCCTTGCGGACTCAGGGCGGCTGACAATCAATTAAAAACACCACTAACAATCACAAGTTAAAATTAATTAAAATGAAATATTTAAATTGTCTAATTAAAAAGTAATTAAAAACCCCTCTAAAAAACCCCTCTTAAAAATTATCCTAGGCCANGAAGGAAGGGAGATCAGGGATCACCCTGATCTCTGGGGGCAGCTCATTCCAGAGGGTGGGAGCTCCCACAGAGAAGGCCCTCCCCCTTGGGGTTGCCAGCCGGCACTGTCTGGCCGACGGCACCCTGAGGAGACCCACCCTGTGGGAGCGTACTGGCCGATGGGAGGTAATCTGTGGCAGAAGGCGGTCTCGAAGGTATTGATTGCATTTAATTTAATTACATATTGATTGCATTTAATTTTTTTATGATTTGGTAGTATTTTTGTTCGTTGTTTGCAGCCATTATTATTAATTATATTTTAATCCCACTTTTAAATGTAATTCAAAGCAGCAAACATGCTTAATATTCCTGCCTCTTACGTTCCCCACAACAACCTTGTGAGGTGAGTTGAGCTGAGAGAGTGACTAGCCCAGGGGTCTTCAAACTTGGCCCTTACGATTTGTGGACTTCAATTCCCAGAATTCCTCAACCAGCATGCCTGGCTGAGGAATTCTGGGAGTTGAAGTCCACTAGTCATAAAAGAGCCAAGTTTGAAGACCCCTGGACTAGCCAAAAGTTGCTCATCCAGCTTTCAGGCCTAAAGCAGGCCTAGAACTCCCAATCTCCTGGTTTCTATATATACTCTTTCACCACTGCATCTATACAGTATATTTTCTAAATAAATAAATAAATGTGGCACAGAACAGGGCTGCAATAGACATCTAAAAACTGAACTTAGGGAAATTGAGCTGAGAGCTGCAATACTTCATTATGTTGGAGCAAGTATTTTCATCTCCACAAGGAAGGGAAAAACCAGCTTTGTCACAGAACAGCAGGGAATGTGCAATCCATCTGAGCTGTAACAACGGGGGAAATTCCCAGCTTGGCTACTTGTCTGACCTCTTCTTTTCCTAATAAGAACACAAGAATGGAGGTGGAAGGAGAAAGGAATGCTTGCAAACCAGAGTTTAACTCTTCAGAACTTCCTGAAAAAGGTTCCTGGATTGTTCTATCAAGTGCACTTTAAAGCACTCTTGGGAAACTCCTGCCTTAGCAGCAGTGCTGCCGGGCTTTGCTCAATAGATGTGGCGGGCTTCAGAAATAGATATAGTCCAGAGATTTCTGCACTCATGGATGCCAGCAGGATGGAAAAGAGTTATTGTTGGAGCCGTGCCCCGATATGTGGTAATTTGATATGGTCCGTTCCAAGCACAAATTGGTCTGAAGCAAAAGCCCGGTGGGAAAGTACAAATAGTAGAAGGAACTATTACTGCGATATTTTAGCACTGACTTAAAAAAAAAAAAAAGCTACACTTTTTTTATTTTTTTACTAAACCTCTGTGCAGTAATGAATGGTAATTCTGAAGACAGTACCACAGTCTTTGCTAGTCAGATGTTGTAGCAAAGGGCAGTGGGAGAAGAGAGAATGATTTCCCAGCAGTTGTGGTTTGGAAGGAAGATGTGTGGCAAACCACGGCAGGGGAGAAACAAGTGAGGAATCCTCTAAATAAGCTGAGGAAATTCTATGGCTACTTGTTTAAGAAAAGAAAGTGAGGGAAGGCACAGCACCACATTAGCCAGACATGGACGAGTTTAGGACATATTTTTGAAGTATAATGTTGATTTACATTAGAAAGGAAAAATAATGAAATTTAAAGGCATGCTAAGGACAGCCCTATCTATAGGAGCAGAAAATGTAAGGCTCTAATATGAGACTTTTTCATCCACAGCCCAGGAAAACATGGTTGCCTATGTGCAATTAGCCTTGTTTCTTCTTGTAACCTGCGGTATCCATGAAACTGAACAGAATCATTTTGGTTGCCACCGGCTCATCATGCAATCCCACCTTAAGAACCTGACTGACCTGGTGAGTTTATAAATTGTATAGTAAGGATGTGATATTAAAAGAATAATGATGTTAAGAAGTAACATTATATGGACCAGATACCTGTGCTGATGGTAGCTTGGTAGTAGATTTCCAGCTTTAATAGTCAGGCTGGGTCTGTATTAAATAAAGTTATAGTATACCTAATTTCCAATGTTTTATGTTGTTCCCAGTCCCTCTAATATTAGGTTCAGAAAGAAAGTGATTCTTTTGTACAGTATGTGGTACCAGACAGCAAGAAAGCAGAGTGGACTCTGAAATTATCTTGGCACTTTTCTCACGTTTGCAAATGCTGGGCCATTCTCAACACAATAAACCTGTAAAGTAGTTTTGCATTATATCCCTAGTGTCAATGTAGATTCTGACTGAGAGCAACTTGCTAGAGATTCCTACAGAGGTTGGCTGGGGTCTTCCTAATTTGTAGCTTAGTTTCTTTGATTAGTGTACCAAGAGCATTGGAAGAATAAATATGCAAACCAGGAGGGGGGGGGAAGCAGGGTTTGTGCATAAATAAAAGTTACTTAAAATTCTGCCCAAATAATTGGTTATATTACACACATAACTTTTGATTTGTTTAAGATCTCTGTTGGCAAATTATAGAAGGGATGAAAAACTATGAAAAAGAGAGGTAAAGTTTCCAAGATGTATATGATCCCTGGTATTTTTGTGATCACTCATCCTAATAACAAATTCCAAGATCAGTTGGGCACTGCTGCCTACATGGCACACTAAAGTCAAGTTATTGGGCAGTTTATTTTACTTCCATTTAGTTTATTTTGTGGTTTATGTCACTTTAGCAGTATTACCCTTCTGTGCTGCAAGAAAATGAAATTGCCAAATATATACTGTTGTAATAAGAGCTGTATGAAGTTCCTACATCCCTGTCTTTGGTTTCCTGCTGTTCAAAGCCACCTTGGAACGGTCTGATCAATTGGCTATTTGCAGGACTGAAGTTTAGTCCAATTTGCTATCTTTTCATTGACATGCCATAATAATTTATTTTATGAAACAAATTTATGTGGCCACCCAAGCCACCTACAGTGACTTCAGGTGGCTTACGGCATTAAAACTTCAGGACATAAAACCAAGCCACCAGACAAGCTGAGCACAGCTTGGAATGCACTGTGGTTAGGGCAAAACCCTTCATGAATATTTTGCTGCTATTTCTTCACCTGATCATTACTCTGGGTTATTCCCCCATCTAAAGACTTCCAGCTTTTTAAAAGTTTATGCTTTTTAAAAGTTTAGTTGGAGGAATAATCCAGAAATTATATACATAATTGATGCAGGTTGGATTTTCTAAAGCTAACACAACTGACAAGTTAATGGTCAGGGTGATCTAGAGCTGCAAAATGTTAGAAGCAAAGTCTCCTGGAATCCTGATTTTTGCCTAAACCATTAATAAACATTGGGAAATCTCTGCTGCAAGAATTGTTTTCATAACTAAGTCTCAAAAATCTTGATACTTTTCTTGCCTACAAAATTCCCAGAGGCTTTACAGAATTCTGATTCAAATAGGAAAGATTCAAAACAATTATTATTTAGCTAACAAAAATGTGAAGACAAAACTGTCTGTGACCAGGAGGTGAGGCATTATTCTAGGGACGCTTCTGAAAGCCTTTCTCTTTTCTTATTTCTATCTTGCCCATTTTTTATGCATTTATGGGGTGAGCATACATTGATATATTTTTATCCTGTATGAGGATGACAAATGTTTGAGCTGATCGTGTGAATTTATTAAAGTCTCTTTGCCATCCTGAATCCTCTCTATTCTCCACCATTCCTTGACCAGTATTGAAAATCTAGCTCAGACCTCCCTAGTCCTCCACAATTCAAGGCAATTACGGCCATGTTCGTTGGATAATTGTGGGAGTTTACATCTCTTGTCAATACACCCAGACACCACCCAAGTTGTGGAGGATAGTTCTTGCCAATAGCAAGCTAGTCTTTCACCCAGAGTCTGCTTTCTGTAACATTAATGAGAGGGCTCTTCTGTCTTAATATCTTTGTGCCATATAGCACTAGATTCTGCAAAAACTAACAAGAAAGCATCAACATAATACTTCAATGTTTTGATTATTCATATTTATTACAAACAGTCCCTATTAACAACATCTTGTAAGAATAAATTGTTTTTATCTTTTGACTTTGGGATAAACCTCCCTAAAAAAGGAATGTTGAGTTGCTAGTGTTCCTCTTCCAGAGTTCAGTTCTCTCCCTAGGGAAGCAAATTCCTGCCTATCTGAAAACATCTTGATTGAAATATGTATATTAAACAGTCCTGAAACACCTGCTATCGCTTACATATATCAGTTGCCAAAGAATATTCAAGGAGCATGATGTATTTGTGGTTCATTCTTTGTCCCCTTTGAAGATTGTAAGGCAATGGGGTCTGCTGCTATCACATTCAATCTTTTAATAATGTATAGGTCCAATGTATAGGTTCACCAGGCAAGGCTAATGAAGATGACTGAGATTCCATATTGCAACACTATTTGGGATAGTTTTGCTCCTGTAACTCCTGAGGAAATAAGAGTCCTCTGCTGCTTGTAGTCTGGATCCCTGCCCCTCTTTCCTGGTAGTGAAAGTTTCCAGGGAGCTGACAGAAAGCTGGTGGTGGGAAATGCATCCATCAGAGAGGAAGTGTTACCATGTGCTTAAAGGAGGCAGTGGCATCCCCCTTCTTCAAGAAACATTTCTCAACTCATTTTCTCAGAGTTTCTCAGAAAACATTCTGAGCAATTATCAGCCTATCTCCAAATTTCCCTTTTGGGGAAAGGTTGTGGAGAAAATGGTTGGGCTGGAATTGCATTGGGCCTTGGAAAAAATAGAGGATCTGACCCATTTCAGTCTGGTTTCAGGCCTAGATTCACCATGGCACAGCATTGATTGTGTCCATTGATGATCTCTAATAGGACTGAGATAGGGATAGGTAATCCTCCTCGTCTTGCTTGATTTCTCAATAGCTTTGGATATCATTGAACAGTCTTCTGATCCATTTCCAATAGTTAGGCGTAAAGGGCACAGTATTACAGCTGTTCACCTACCCAAAGAGATGGCTTCAATCAGTTGCTAATGAGAAATCAAATCTTAGATCTCTGAAGTGGGGAATTCCCCAGGGCTTGCTACTCTCCCAGTCCTTTTCAAGATCTTCCTGAATCTACTAGGTGATGTCATCTGGCTGCCTGGAGTCAGGTTTCACCAGTATGCTGACAATGCCCAACTATATAGCTTGACTACTGGAAAATAACTGATGTCCCTGACGTTTGTTCAGTAATCTGGGGAGTGAACTGGTTGAGATCAATCCCAATAAGATGGAATAGTTGTGGGATAGAAGATAGGCCGCTTCCAGTGGGATTCCATGATTAACTTCAAACTGGGTTATATTTCCCTGTGCAAATTTAATTTTGGGGGTCATAGCTTCTACTTGAGCAGTTGGCAGATATATGGCTAAAAAGCCTTTTGCTGAGCTACAGCTAGGATGCCAGTTGTAACTCTTCCTGTAACCGCAGACATTACTCGCTGTCATTCTTGCCTTAGTCACCTTTCATATGGAATATTGTGATGTGTAGCACTGGAGCATTTGGAAATTGCAGCTGTGAAGAGTGAGGTAGTTTGGGGTAGTGATGAATCTTTTTGAAGGCACTCATGTGACACCTTTACTCCAAGAAGTCTGTGCCAGTTGGCTTCTGAGTGTAGTTCAAGACATTGGTTGTGGTTCATGGTTTGGGGATATCTTTGGATGCACCTTTTTCCCATAACAAGGTTTCCCACACTGAAGTATACTGTACCTCCTTTGGGGAGATGCACGCAGAGTCTTGGGGAAGTGTGAAGAACCTTTTAGCTACATTATTAAAATAAATCTACCTTTCATTGTATTGTTTTCATTGTTTATATGTGTTCATTTTGGTGTTTGGATTTTTAGGGAAGGTGTGTACATTAAGATTACACTAAAGGGAGGTGTGATGGCAAAAGGTTTAAGAAACCCTGCCTTATAATATCTGCCTATTCAATAAGACCTGGCAGGGTGGACTTCTGATGTGCCTCTTCAATTAGAGATTGTCATCTTTTGGGACCCACGGAAGTACTTTTTCAGTTGCTGCCCTTCTTCTCTGGAGTAACATATTATCTGAGATGTGGTCGGCTTCTTCTCTTCTGAATGTTAGAAAAACTGATGGAAGCAAGGTTGCTCATCAATCCAGGGGAACTGGGTTGCTATAATGCCCTCTTGATTGGGAGAATAAAGTCTGCCTTGTTGTTAATATTTTTTAGCCTCAGCTTCTGGTTCCATAGGAACATCTCTAGTCACTGATTTACTTGATTCTATTTTTTTATTCCATTTATATGTTAGGAAGCTGTCAATCACTCATTGTCAGGAGTTGGAGCAGCCTATAAATCCTGCAGACAAACCAGTAAATAAATAATAGGCATTGGAGTTGAGAGCAAGTCTTAGTTTAATAACAGGTAGATAATATAATCTGGTTGATAGAGGTAATTTATAGTTTTAAGTTTTAACTTAATTTTTTTAAAATTTTCAATCTCCTGTTGGACAGGAATAATACATTATTCACTTTGTTTATTAACAAAGTGCACTTATTTTTTCAGTATCTTTTCTAAGCCAAGCAGAATGAGTCATTTGTATCTCACACTATTTCTCAAATATTACGCTGCCACACCTTAATGGAGCTTATTGTTCGAATAAAATGTACTGCTGATTAATTTTGCAGCCATGACTAAATTTTAGGATTAGTTCGTATATCTTTACTTGGAGCCAAAACTTTAATGATTCCAATTTCAAATATTATGGAAGTATTATGTACTTATTTGGCACTATTTATGGCATTTTACTATCATAAAAATCTCTCTTCCCTACTCCCAAAGAGAATACAGATTTTGGAACAGAGAGTGGGATTTTCATGCCACTTAGATCTAGGAAAAGGATTGGATGATCAAAATGTATCTTTAAAACTCCATGAATTCCCTAGTAGAATGCCTTTAAATCATGTGGGAAGTTGCAGGATTAACTGTACAAGCCATTTTAATTATGCTTGTCATGTTGTAACAATGTTCATTCAGAAACCTCATTGCATCATCTATTTCAGTAGCTGTTTCAAAAGCTGAATTATACTTGCAGAGACACTTGAATTTGTAAAGCTGTTTTTCATTCTAGTGTGATTTTTCTTGTTATACCTGACAAAAGCCCTAATGATAGAATTAAATCAAAGCAATAAATACAATTGGTTTTTTAATGACCATTTGAAGTTAACAAGGTTTCAGAAAGGATGGTTTACAGCCCATAAAGTACTTCTGGCAATCATAAAATGTTACACACACACACATGCGCGGTCCCATGACTGCATTTGGGCACTTGGCAACTGGCTCACATTTACAACTGGTTGCAGTGTCCTGCAATCACATGACTGTAATCTGTGATTTTTTTTCCAATTTCTGGCAAAAAAAATTCATTTGAGATAATGATTTCAGACTTATGACCATGTGATAAGCTTAACGTCCACTGTAAAAATAGTCATAAAATTGGATCCAGTCAAGTGGGTGCTTCAACTTGCAACTGTCCTGATTTGCGACCAAAATTTTGGTTTCAGTTGCAGTCATAAATCAAGGACTACCACTGCAAATTGTAAATTCATAGTCAAATATGTTCAGGGAAGAGAACGGCTATGAAATGGATAACGTGATTCCCAGAATAATGGAAATTGTATAATTTCTACCCTGGTGATGTTGCTTGAAGAGTCTTTCAGCGTAAGTATCCAGAAAGCAGAAACAGTTGCCAGAGTTTCATTTGGTTAACTGGTTGGTGCCTAGTTGTTGCTGTGCTGGCTTAGAACCCATTTTGGCAGAATCAAAAAAAAAAAATAACCCCATCCTTTGGGCAAGTGAGAACAGGCTGAAGATGGTAAACCCAAAACCGAAAGTGATGCTCTTAAACTGTTTATCATTCATGGGATAGTGAGCCAAGCTTTTTTCCTCACTGAGTTCCTGCTTGCCTTTTCCTGAGTTGCTCTGTGACATTGCTAGTGATTATTTGGGATCTGATAGTGGAGCAGTCATGTGCCTTTTTGACCATTCCCTGATTTATCTCTCCTAAACACCTATGTTTCACTTTTCCTGCAACTCCCTAAACAAATTCTAGGTTTATGCAAGGAATTCAGTTCTCTAACCTTGTTATGCTGTCACTAGTGTTTACGTTTGCCCTAGATATCTTGGCTTCCTTGGAGCTTTCTTTGGATTCATATAGCTAAAACAGAGTAAGATTAACGGACATTTACCCTGTATTTTTTCATTACAGATTGATAGTCAGATGGAAACTTCCTGCCTGCGATCTTTTGAATACGTGGATGAAAGGGAACTGGTAAGTCTTGTACTGTATTCAATTTGTCACATTGCCAATTAGAGTTTATATAAGAGCTTCTAATGTCAGACTTTGGAGCAGTGGATTTCAATGTATTTTTTAAGATTTATTTTTTTTCACTACAAGGAATTGTGAGTATAGTGCTGACTTTTGCTTTAGTTTTGGGCTTCTGCATATCTTTTCTCTTCCTCTAGTTTGGTCACTACTACCCAGTAGCCAATATCTTCTGGGTAATACAGGGAGTCCTGTAAGATGTTAGAGAGATCATTAACATCTAGTTATTCATCTGGTCCATGGTGAGCTCTCAGATAAAATACCCCAAGAGGGGTTTATGAGCCTTTGATGTTGTTGTTCGTTTGATTGTCTTACCTCTTTGGACCATTTATAATTGAAGAAGAGCAAGCAAGAAGAGGCTATTGATCATCTTCAAGGCTATTTTTACCCCTTGTCCCTTTTTGGAAAGGACAGGTGGTAACAAGAAGAAAAAATAGTACTTAATCTGAAGAATGCTAACTTTTTCATACCAAAACTGAATATTTTCATTGCTGATATTTGTATTTATTATCTTCTAGGGTAATACTGAATGCTTTCTCAAAGCAGCCTATAATCCCCTGAAATATATCATCGATAACATTAACTTCACGAGTAATACTCCAAACTATCTGAAACTCCATCTGATAAAGGACTTATACCTGGACCTTGGAAGATGCATTAAGCCTCCCAATGATAAGAATAAGGTAAATTTTATTGATCAGTTTTGCAATCCTCAGAAACAATGCTAATACATTTAATGAGACTGAGAAGCTGATGGACAATTGACACCTAAATATTAGAGCTGAGGATGCTGAGGAGGGAATTGAAAAAAATGCTTTAGTGTGTCTTTCCTTGACTGTGCCTACCTTTAAAGAAACCAAATATAACCTTAAAGAAGCCAGATATAACCTTAATCACATTTTTAAGCTTCACATACAGATACATAATTTTAAAGTACCTAAGACAGGGCAGAAACTAAGCAAACACACTGTTAACCGACTATTATGTGATTTATGTTTTAAAAACCAATAAAACTTATAAATAAAATAAGACAGGGCAGAAAGGGAGTTAGTTTGGGGCCTTTGAAGCAATGGATAGGTTTCAGCCAGCTGCTTCTTCCTCCAAACATTTGCTATCTGCACTGGGAAGGAAATGCTTCCAGTTTAACAGCTATAGCTATATCTTTGGTTGGAATCCTTCTTACGCTGGCCTAGGGACAAAATATGCAAAATATGCCTGATATCATTTAGGACCAATCAAAATGACTCAAAAAGGCATGCAATCATCTAAATTCTCCAGAACTTTTCATCAATTTAAATGGTCCCCAAATATGAGAAAAAGAAGTATTAGGAAAATCCCCCAAATAACCAATGGGATTTACAGAGTCAGTCTGGAAACAGAGTTTGTGGATTGAATGTTTAATATGTTGGTATTTGATTACACTTAAGCTTTAGGGACTGAAGCTACCTAAGGGACTGAGGAAGTATTTGCTCTATCTCATATCAAATTTTATTGATATGTTGGATATTCCTTGTAGGATCTTCAGTGTAGAGTTGAGAATAGGCCTTGCTTATAGAAGTAGAGAAACTAGTTTTGTAGTTGATTGGCTGGTGATAATTTCTTATGCTGTCATAGATAAAATAGAAGCTAATTTTATTTCTTTCCCCCTCATATTTTTTGTTTACTCTGAAAGAAGTGCATCAAGACTTTCTCCCTGACTGCACGGCAGACTTTACAACTGGTGCACAAATATTTTAGCCAAGCCAAGCAGTTTCTGAGCAAGAATACATTCACAGATGATTGCAGTGGGGTCTTCCAGAAGTGTTCGGAATCACAGGAAAAGGAGATTGTTTCTCCAGGTAAACAACTCAAGACTTTTCAGATGTGCATTTCCTGCCAATAGTTTGGCACAGAGTTGGGAAGGGATGATTTTAAATTGGGTGAAGCATTTTGTGGCTTTTATATATGTGCATTTATGTTTGTGTAGCAGGCTTCTCTGTGCATTTATACTTGCAAGTGTTGTCTATTGTCTGCTGGAATGTAAGTCTTAGAAGTCAACAGGTATCTCATTTGAATGGAAATGCAGTGGGCCTCCTTAGTTTGAAGTAAAGACAACATTGAATCTGTTTAAGTTTGATCTAGCTGCAGATTCCTGACTCTTATGTGCATATATAAGAGCCGTGATTCATGGTTGACTCAGCCTTCCATCCTTCCGAGGTCTGTAAAATAAGGACCCAAATTGTTTGGGGGCAATACGCTGACTCTGTAAACCGCTTAAAGAGGGCTGTAAAGCACTATGAAGCGGTATATACAAATCTAAGTGCTATTGCTATTGCTATACAGCAGGATGGTGTGGATTTTAACAAAATGTCAGTTGAAGTTCTTCCCTTCCCCATTACCCATTGTTCTGTGTTAATCAACTTTAATATTTCTGTATTTTCTTTGCCTTCTATTACGTATTTGGCTTCTGTTAGCGTTGAGAGAAACTTCAAGCAGTATGTATAAAGACTGCCTAAAAGCATACCACGGATAATTACTTTTGTTCTAAGTATCTTCACAATCAACTTTGATTTTCAAAACTGTAGCATTTCTGCTTAAAGATACAAGAATCCTAGAATGGTGCCTGACCACCAGAAATGGGATCTTTTAATATGATGGCAGAGAATTTCAGAGCTACCCCCCGAGATCCGGACGATTCCGGATCTCCTAACCTTCCGCCGCGCCCTCAAGACATGGCTTTTTCAACAAGCGGGACTGACCTAGGGTGAATTTTAAATAGGGAATAATTTTTAAAATTTTTTAAAGATTTTAAATATGACACAGCCATTAATATATTTGCTTTTTAATTGGTTTTATAGGGGAAATGTTT